ATAAACAATATATTGTATAATCAATTTTACTTATTAAATATTCTGCAGGTATATTTATATACTTATCTACATATTTTTTACACTTATAGCACATTTTTAACTCTTTTTTATTTATTATTTATTTTTTGAGTGCTTTAAAGACTGACTTAATACTATTCAAGAAATTAACAAGAAAGTATTGATAATTTATATAATCTAAATTGAAAAAAATCTAATATAATATTTTAGTTTACGAATATAAACTATACTCAAAATATATAGCCCTTTCATTCTCAAACTCATTTGGGTAACAGTTTTAAATCTTTGCTCTCAACTGCAGGACTCCTGTCTCTCAGGTCAAGTTTGCAATAGAGTTGTTTGACTGTACTTGAATAAATTCCAGCTAGCATTTTTGTGGCCTAAAATACACAACAGCGCCATACAGCAACAACAGCAGCAGCAGCAGCAACAACAACAACAACAACAGCACCAGCAGCGGCTAGAGTGTGGCATGTAACAACATAAACAACCAAATACTATTTGGCCTTTTGCACCTTTTTGGCATGGAACAACTTTGGCAGTCAGACAGTCAGGCAGGCAGGCAGGCAGGCAGACCCTAGCCTAGGCTCAAGCTCTGGCTATGTGGATGAGCTGCGGTAGCCCCAAGATCTTTATTTCGGTTCGAAGGATGCGACGGCGACGACAACGCCCCGAAAGGCACAATTAAAATTTCACGCTTTTGCGGTTAGCTGCCCAAAAGCAGAAAAAACCGACCAGCAAAATAAAAAAGAAGAAGAAGAAAAGGTAAAATAAGAAGCACACGTTGACCATTTTGGGATTGCAATTCGCAGAGAGTGCCAGCAGCCGAATATGTGCGGCGGCATTTTCGCCTTTGAGGCACAGTAGAGGGAGCAGAAGCGAACGTTTTGCAACACTTGCGCGCACAGAGTGTGCTTTGTGTGTGCCACGCGTGCAATTTGCCGCTGCCGCCGGGGAATAGGGGAACAGAGCAACAACAGCAGCAGCAGCCGGCGCATGGGTCGAGCTTGGCACTTGGCAAGTGTTAATGAGCAGCGAGCAGCAGAGCAGCCGAGCAGCAGAGCAGCCGAGCAGCGGAGCAGCGGAGCAGCGCGTGCTAATTACCAAGTGCCAGTTGCAAATGGCTGGCAACAGCTCAGAATGTCAAGCAAGTGAGTCTGTGCACAACAATTCAATTAAGCACTTATCGATCAACAAGCGATTATTGACTATCGAAGAGCAAGATGTGCTCAAAATATTGCAGCTTAAGAATGTTAAGCGAAATCCATATGATATAAAAGAATACATTACTTTGTGTAAAGTCATCTGCAGATAAATCTGATAAGATCAAATAACTGCACAGGCAAGCCAATGAATGAATGCTCTTAATAATACAACTGTTAAGCCAATACAATTATTTTTATAATACAGTCTTCATTTAAATATATTTTTCAGTCAACATTCAAAGCACTTCAAGCAAGCCGCTATAAATTCAAAAATCCAGCAAATACTCAAACCATAATTTTAGAGCTGCCAGCTAGCTAGAAAAACAACTATGCAGCAACTCAGCCACATCAGCCAAATATCAATTATTTGGCTGCAGTCTGGCAACGCTATAAGCAAGTGTAAGGCATCACAAAACGAGGGCTAACGCAACATAAACAATGCGCGCCGGCCAGCGCACACTCATACGCGCACGCACACGCACAAAAAGACTATGTGCTTGCGGCTTGCTGCTAATACGTATACGCATTAAAGAGAGCAACAGCAAACAAAACAAACATTGCTTATACGTCGTTGGTAGTTTATAAATTTATATATTATTTTGCAAGTAATAAGTAAAGTCGTAAATCTCCCTATGGCTACTGCGCATTTATAAAAATTTATTTACCAACTTTTACGATCTGTACACAAACAAAAAATAATACTTTCTTTTCCCAATGTAACGAAGTCTAAATACCCTAAAATATTATATATTTATTAAAAATATTTTAATGTACAGGGATTCTTGCTGTATGTAATAATATTAAACTGAATAGATAACACTTTACACATATAATAAGATATTTCATTTGTATTACATTATATTAGCTATATCCAATCACATCCTTAATGATCTGAAATTTATATATGTTTGTTAATACTATTGTGAACTTATTCGTATGGGTTACATATCAACTGTCAAAATGCTTACACACTACACTGACACCTGAGCACACTCTCATTCTATCTCGCCTTTTGCTCGTGCGCGCTCGCTCAATTTCTGTTAACTTACTCCCAATTTCGTTACATTTGGCGTTCCCAAAACTAATTCAAAGAGAAATGCTGTGGTACTCGAGTACGGTACATGAGCACCCTCGCTTCACTACTAAAGAGAGCGCATGTTTCATTTCTATATTTCTGTTTCTTTTCATTCCGTGTTCCTCTCTTCCGCTGATACGCTTGCTGTAGCTTTGTTTCGTTTTGGGAGTTCAGTCATTCAACAACCGCCGAGAAGGGAAGACGTGCATATTTCTCGTCTGGTTGGCTATCCGCGTAATTTAGTTAACCGCCGTTATTAAATTAATATTGTTGCTCTTATCATTGATATGAAAGGTGCGAATTCTCGCCATTAAAATGGACAAACATAAATACATTGACAGCAATAACAATGTAATTTGATTGTTTCTCAAAAATACAAATAAAACAACAAACCAAAAAAAAAAAACAAAACAAAACAAGTGCAAATCGAGTCTTCAAAAAAAAAAAAAAAAACAGGTACGTACTTATATCCATGTGATCAGCGCGTAGGTCTCATTGCCCCAATTTTTTAATTCCGTCAAACTTTTTCAACATTTTGGTCATTTGTTTGTTGGTTTTTTTTTCTACATTTTATTTATTATTAACTATGACTAAGAGCAGTTTATTACGTTTTTGTTAGATATGCGTTTTAGTTAGTTCGTCGTTAATTTTTTTTCTTTTTTTTTTTTTTTTTTTGATAATGTTTTTTCAACTTGTTCTGTGTTTTCGATTGCAAATTTTATTTCTGTTGCGGTCGCTGCTGCTCGCTCATTTTTTTTTTTTAAGCCGCAAAAAAGTCGAGCGAATAACGAGTGCAAGGCATTTAGCCAAGACATTAAATATCAACATAAAATTAAAAAAAAAAGTAATGATGATGAATTTAAATCAGAATTAATTTATAAATAAGACGCAAGCAAATTTAGTACTCAATAATTGGCCAACTTTATATATATTTTAATATAATGCATATCAGATTTTTAAATATATAATTTACTATATTTATATTTGACATAAAAAGTAAAATATTCTGGATTCCAAATTCTGTTTCAAGATCATCATTCTCGATTCCCGCGTCCCGACATTTCATATTCTCGAATAAATCCCATCAAATTTGGTTGTTCTGCAGTAATTGTTGTTAACGTGTGTTAATTAAAATTCTGTTTGCATTTGAAACTTTCGCAGTTGTTAAACAATTATCGGGTGTGATATAATGAATAACAATAAAATAAATTATTAATATATATACCAAATGCGAAATTCTTGATGAGCCCTTCAGTCAGTGCGACACACGCTTGATTTATGGCAACAAAATTGTTTAAATCAATTACAAATGAATTAAATTTAATAAATAATTCAGTAAATACCAGAAGGAAATGTATTATATGCCGAGTGCAAGAAACTGCTTGCAGCGAATGTATTCAGCATGTTAACAGACCTCAAAAGATACTTTAGTTCGTTTTGTTTTTTAATATAATTTTCTTGTTTTATTTTTATTTTTCGTTGTTTCTTTTTTTTGTGTCGATTCAAGAAAAAGATAGCTTATCACGTTTGCTATAACATACGCCACCGATTTGCTTGATAAGTCCACACAAATACACGCAAAATAACCGAAACCGAAATCAAATACAACACCCAGCAAATACTACATTTTTGCAAAGCGCTGTAATGGAATACCCTGTAATCAGAAAGAACGATATGAAAAGACACGCTCGCTAAAGATAAGCTCACAGTTAGTGCTCTATGGCAACCAAACTAGCCCATGGCAATTGCCACTACAGGGCATGCGCAGCCAAAGCTGTGCAGACACACTTACTGCGTAATAAAAAACAACACTTCATATATATGTATATGCAATAATATATACATATATATATGCATGTGTTTAATGAAAAAAAAATGGACTAAACCGCAACTAGACGTAACTGAACTGTGTCTGTGTCACGCCCACAGCCCGGCGTACGCCCCTGTAGTACCTGGCAACAGCAGCAGAAACTTTTAAATTCAGCTCACATTTACTAATTTCATTTTATCTTTTTTCCCACTTCTGTTTTGTGTTTCGTCTATAGAGCTTGAACGCTTTCAGGATCTCAGCGCGACATAACCTACATCAATATCAAATTTACATAATACAAACTCACTCACACACCACCTGATTATACAGACATGGCCCAGCTGGATCTCATTGGAATTTTGTGCGTGGGACTTTTACTGTTTGCCTGCGCATCAGGTGAGTTCCGATTTCCGATTTCTGAGAATTATTCATTTTTATAGCTGTTTTCTGATATGCACATGTGGAGCATTGTCAGATCGGCATTAACACAACCAAAATAGATAAGAGCCAGATAAATTGACAATCAGAAAAAAAAAAAAAACAGAAACCACAAAAGTAAAAATAACAACATTTTAATCCAAAAATGAACTCATTTATAAACTCATCAGGTGACTCATCGAACTTTTTGTGATGCTGCTGCTGCTGCCATTATTTTGATTGTATTTTCTTTTTTATGGCCAAGCATAAAGACAAAAAGAACAGGCAAAAAACAAAATCTCTGTATACATTTGCGACCTTATTACGCGCCAACAAATTCTCAAGATTCCGAAATGAAAGAAAACAACAAGAACAAATAGCATCATACGTCACTGTGTGCAGTGGATCCATTAGCCATAATAGTTGATGACGTGAAAGCAGCCAGCCGAACTAGCCAGCAGATCAACATTTTCACTATGTATATATTATAGATATAGATGTATTTATAGATCACCGCTGGCATTGCTTTACCTCAGCCTGCGGAGCATACCAAATTTTGGAACAAAGTATGTGGGGCCTATCCGAGGTAGTTTCCGAAATCAAACAGAATATATATTATATATAATTGAAGATTATCAAACTGAGAACTGCAATGTATGTTATTATGCACAGTTTTCCTTATCCAATTTTAGATCTATAAACATCAAACTCTGCCTAAAACTCATGTGGAATGTTTATATTGTAGATGACGTAGTAAAGAATTTGTCTACATATTTGTGTTGTATGATAACTAAAACTGTTGTTTAAGAGTTTTATGATGTTTACCATTTATAAAATGTACGAAGACTATATAAGATAACTCTAACATTTGGCTCTATGACAAAAATCGATTGGGAAATAAGTTTCTCAAGTACATTCTCTATATATGAAATATATATGGACTGCTTGAGAAACAAACATACAATATTATATATCATATATATGTGTAGGTATTTTGCAATTTGATATTTCTTTTGTATTTCCAACTTTGACATTCCGAACTCTTTATTGTTCTCAATCGTATTACGTAACATCCATGACAATCAAATGCCCGGCAGAGTATAGGAATGTCGTGACAGATTTTTCGTTATTTTTGTTTATATTTTGGTTTTCATGTTGATTTTTTTTTTTTCACCTACAAACACATGTTTTTGTTATTGAATTTTGCTCTCTGTGTTGTTTTTGGTATTGCTGTATATTATTTGTACATTTTTGTTGTTATTGTGTGTTTTTGAGGTTTTACTCATACCAAAAAGAGTATATAGGTTTTACTTAGGCGTGTACATATATTAAAGGTTTGATTCTTGAAAGAGATTTTACTGAGATCTGCTTAGATCTCATATCATGAGTAGCTATATATACATACATATATATTTAGCTGAAAACGTATTTTAAGATGTACATGTTACTTACTTAGATATTTTTGATATATATTATATTATATTGTATATATATCCATTTGGGGACTAGCAAACTGAGTATGATCCCCAACGATGTGGTCAAGCGATTTTAAAAAGAATTCAACCCGATTTCGTAATGTGAACGAGTATTGTGCAGTCAGGTGGAGCGCGCTGGCCAAAGTTCTTTCATTCTATAGTTTTTTGTATATTTTTGTTGTAGCTCGGTTTGTTGTTGAGGTTTTTGTTTTTGTGGGTTTTTAAAACAATTGCATTGATAATTTAGATAGCGTGCGTTGGTTTATTTGTTTCTGTTTCATTTTATTTTTGTTTAACTTTGCTGGGCAGCGCCTCAACACGAATTCAATTTGTTTATTTGTACATTATGCGAGAGTTGCCCTTGAGTCTGATAAATTGGAGGGCGCCAAAGGTACGTTGCGCACTCTACCTGTTCACTACACCTGTTACATTACGTGAGGCGAGCCATGGCGTCAGCTGTTGCTGCTGTAACCCAATTAGCTCAGCAGCCAATCGAGATAATGGGCAGCTAGAGATATGTAGTAGCTAAGTATCATAACAACAAGTAGTTTCAGTAAACAAATACTCCAAAGTGGAATATATAGACATTTATAGTTTAAATAAACATAATGCAAATTGCGAAAGAGCTTGAAAGAATTGCAAAATTATCTTAGAAGATGTAAATTAGGAAATGTTTAGGAAAGTTATGTCGGAGGGAAATATATATAGTGCTAAAAGAGATGCAGAGTTAGACAGATAGATGTTTAGAGATCAGTTATATAGAGTACAAAATATATAGCTGGAGCTTCAAATTTGGTAATGAAGTGTGGAAGGGGAAAAACTCATATAAGAGAAAAACTTATAGAGAATGAGTTTGGGTAGGTCAGAGTAGGACAGCAAATAATGAGATAAGAGAAGAGAGTCAAGAAAGTTTACAAAGGCTGTATGCAAATGAAAGAGAGAGAGAATTCGAAATAGAAATTAGGAAAAACCTTCAAATTTGCTTATAAATGTATAATATTACTATAATATATTACTCAATAATAAAGAATACAGAGTTACTAAGTGACCTATTTGCAGAACTCAAACAATTTCAAATCCCAAGTTGCATTCCCTTAGGCCATATACCAGAATATATTATATGTACTAAAAGCTAAGCATAACTCCATTTCAACAATTGGGGCAAGTTCTAACAAAGAGAAACCTGAACGAATGACGAAAACTACTAAAAATATTTGAGGAATATACAGAACACTGCTTTCACCTCGAACCCAGGCCAAAATCCATAAATGGTAAAAGGGCAAGTGACTTCAGCAAATGGTGCAGTCGCCAAGGAGCACGAATCAAAATAAAATAAAAAAGCTATAAATAGAAGAGAAGAAAGCCAGCACTTAGGTATAATGCCAAGGTTGGTTGGCAAGGAAACAATTCGCATAGCCAACCACCGAAATAAACACAAACTATATACATATAACTCATTTCCAGAGGGTTGCAATGGACGTGACTAAGACCCAAGCAAATTGGTGGAGCCAACCATTTGCATAGCGTAAAAGGCGAACGTCAAAGCACATTTAGCTGTCTCAAACTGACAGAGCTCGAAGCTAAGAAGGTCAAAAATGTGCCACAATTAGTCCGAAGCAGACGCAAAATAAATAAAAATAAAAACAAAAACAAAAAACCCTTCAATATGATATATAATCGTGGTAAAAGTGTGCCAAAGAGCCAGTCATATACATATGTATGTATATTTTTATATATCTATATAGTTAACAATCGGCTAGCAAATCAGGCAAAGCATAAACAAAAGCGAAAATATTTCAAATGAAAAACACATAAAGAGGAACAACCCACGCATCATCATTATGCTTGGGTAAAAGCAGCTCATTGAAGTGAACCGGCTCACTCGGTCTTTTTTTTTTTTTTTTTAACTATCACTCATCTCACTCATTTGGCTCACTGTCTCAATGGCTGAAAGCTCATGAGCCGATAGTGATCGCAAGCAAAATGAACTAGAATGAGCTAGTGAGCCAAAATGAGCGAATGAGCCAAAACGAGCTAGTGAGCCAAAATAGGCCATATTGAAGAAGCAAGCTCAGTGGCTCAGTCAACCCAAGTCGAATCATTATAGACTGTAACAATTGTCCATCGTTGAATATATATATATGTATGTATATAGAAGACACTCATCTGTGGATTATTGTTTACAGTTAAGCTATAAATAACTAAGGACTGCAGTACGATGCTGCGATAGACTCTTTGTTTAATTGCGGTTGCTAAGCGGCTACGCTTGACAGAAAATCAAAGAAAAAGCTAGAGATAATTGACTGGGAAACCGTTTTGATTTTTTTTGGAGCTGATTGTGAATTATTAAAATCGATAAGAAATTACAGTTGTCTTGTTGCTTTCAATTTTATTTAAATAACAGAATTGCATTGCATCATCATCTGCAGTGTGTTTCCTGGAGGTGCATATACATATATGCGATAGATAGCCTGTAAGTTACTAGAAAGGCAAGGCAAAGGAAGAAGAAAAATTAGAACTAGCCCAAGAATAGGAGTGAGAATGAGAGAGAAGAGGCCGGAATTAGGAAACAAGACTGAAAGAGAGTGTCTAAAGTCTAAATAATACTTATAGTCTAGTCATTGCACATAGCTCTATATATCGCCTTTAAGACTATTTTAAGACGCACAAATACTTTGAACTTTGATTTTCCTATAAAAACTATTCTGAACATTTTCCCCAACAAATATCATTAATAACAGAATGATAGCTTTGAGCTACTATAATATATTATAGTAATACAATAGTTATATAAAACGAGAATTTATAGTTTATTGAGGCCTCAGTCTCTATATATCAGATATGATATAGTGTTTCATTTGTTGCCACTTCACAATATGCGCAGTTTGTAGCTTAAAAAAATTATTAATCTATGTCAGAATTCGATCAAGATAATTGCGGGAGAGACGACATACAGTGACGAGCAAAACTGTAACACGAATTCATTGTTGCAACTTCAAGAGTCTGTATTTTTGCTTCTACTATATGGATGTTTAAGATCTTAATTTTATTTTGTTAGTATGGTATTTAGCTGTTTTACCTGAAAATTTGAAATCATTCGGTTGACTGGAATAATTATAAGAAATAAAAATGTAAAGAAAGTCAAATGTTACAGTTTTGCACCCGGGTCATTTTTCAACAAATGTATTTATTAATAATNGACATGAATATCATTGAAAATATATGGAGTCATGTGAAATCGCAGCTTGCGAATTATGGGTGGCTCCAAATGGAATGAAAGAGCTGTTGGAGAGGAACAAGGACATTTGGTGCGCGACTTTGCTGAAATGGTGCGACGGTACACAAAAATGATGGCAAATGATATTAATGAGCAAAAAAAGTCAAAAGTGCTATGCATTAATTATTAAAAAATTATTAATAAATACATTTGTTGAAAAATGACCCGGGTGCAAAACTGTAACATTTGACTTTCTTTACATTTTTATTTCTTATAATTATTCCAGC